ATTATAATACAATATACTTATAATACACACACACCAATAAATTTGCACAATCTGAGAAAATTCAGTAATATTAAACCTTTTCAAGGTCAAGGTCATTAAAGAGCCCAAGCAAAATTTTGGGTTTTTGATAAACAACAAGGTCTGGTCCTTTTAAGAATGTTCTTTATAATATGAAGTTTATTCCCTTTTCAAAAATAGCAAAGTTACAGTCAGTCACAATGAAAATTTCAATAATTTTTGACCTTCCCAAAGGCAATGTCATTAATGAGTGAAGGTCAAGGTCTTTTCGGTATATTTTTAAACGTTATTTTGAAGATTTTTATGTTCAAGTTTGAAGACAAATCCATTCAAAAATAACAAAAGTTACAGCCAATAATAGCCAAAAAAATAAAAATTTCAATAATTTGACCTTCAAAAGGTCAAGGTCATTTGATGAGTGAATGTCATTGTCTGATTGGTTATTTTTAAGGATTATTCCTTGAATGATTATTATGTTCAAGTTTGAAGACAAATCCATTTTCAAAAATTAACAAAGTAACATGCCAATAACGCCATGAACAAGCAAAAATTGGGACTTTAACCTTGAAGGTCAAGGTCATTTATGGATGAAGGTTCAAGGTTAGTGTGGTCTACTGAAAAGGTCTTGTCCCAAGGGTTGTTGTGGCCAAGTATGAAGGACAATTACACAAGAAATTAAAAAAGTTATTGATCCAGGTACAAGTTTTCGGAAACTGGCACGGCAACTCGGGAGACGGCACGGCAACGCGACCTGACTATAACAATACCTCTACTTTTTTTTTCAAAAAAAAAAAAAGTCGAGCTTAAAAAAGGGCATACTAATGTAAAAAAAAAAGCCCAATACGGTGACTTACTGAACATAGGTTGAGATTACAATGGTGAACAAGTGTACAAAGTGTCAAAGCCAGATGTCAATGTAATTTAAAAAATTTTGAATAGTACACAAACTTTGACGTAAATTCTCTGTCGAAAAAGGGGCATAATTCTGTCAAAATGTTTGGGTATCAGATTACAATCCGTCTCTCACATTAGATGTGTATTGTGTATGTTGTTTTATTCTTTTTTTATTCGTTTTATTTTTATTTTTATTTCATTTTTTTTATTTATTACTCATTTACGAATTAAAACTAATCTAATGTACTTACTCCTCGTGTACACTACGTAGTCTGAAACAGATTAATGTTAAAAATTATTTTATTTTTCATCAAATAAAAAAGAAAATATTAGTAAATCTATCACATTGAATTTACATATCTAAATAAAACTTTTAATTCATTTTGACCTGGAATATATATGAAATTCAAGTTTTGCGTTTATATTACTGCTTTGTCCCATCAACACACTAGAGGACATATGGCGACTTTGCAGCTTCACGTGGGGAGCGAGATTTTGTGCATTATTTCATGTTCCCACGGGCACCCTAGTAGAACCACGGACGTTCTGTAAGCTAGCTGCATAGCTTTCTCAAATCCTCAACATGCCAAAACAACTTTGTAGTACTTCATTTTTAAAAAATGGGTCAAAGACAGAAAAGGCCGGGTTGCATTAAATTTTCTTTACCAAATATTATGATTCTGTAATGTGATGAAAAAAAATTACCACTGACCATTAATGTGGAAAATTTAACTAAGTCATTTAACAGGAAGTAAATGAGCGACAGACCTGAAATCTAATCCCACTGTATGGGACCAAATGTCAATGCTGTATGCCAAATATCAAGAGGCTGTGATAAGTAGTTGCTGAGAAAACTGTTACGAAAATTTCCTACCATTGACCAGTAATGTCGAAAATTTAACTAAGTCAGTTAACAGGAAGTAAATGAGCGACAGATCTGAAATCGAATCCCCTGGTATGGGACCATGTGTCAATGCTGTATGCCAAATATCAAGAGGCTGTGATAAGTAGTTGCCATAAATGTCGAAAATTTAACTAAGTCGATAAATAAGAAGTGGATGAGCAACAGACCTGAAATCGAATCCCACAGTATGGGACCATGTGCCAATGCTGTATGCCAAATATCAAAAGATTGTGAGAACTCGTTGCTGAAAAACTGTTACAAAAATTTTTCCCCGTCCGCCCGACCGACATTCACCATACTATCACCCGGGTGTGCACCTGTTCAACTCGGCAAAATTATAACGATTGACCAGACATCAAGTAGTTGCTGAGAAAACTGTTACGAAAATTTCCTACCACTGACCATTAATTTTGAAAATTTAACTAATCGATTAACAGGACGTGGATGAGCGATAGCCCTGAAATCGCATCCCAGTGTATGGGACCAAGTGTCAATGCTGTATGCCAAATATCAAGAGGCTGTGATAAGTAGTTTTTGAGAAAACTATTACGAAAATTTCCTACCACTGACCATTAATGTCGAATAATTCAACTAAGTCGATAAACAGGAAGTGGATGACATGGATGAGCAACAAACTTGAAATCGAATCCCACAGTATGGGAACATATGTCAATGCTGTATGCTAAATATGAAGAGATTGTGATAACTAGTTGCTGAAAAAAATGTTACGAAAATTGTTCCTGCCCTCCGCCATTAGCCCGCCCGACATTCACAATACTATAACCCGAGTTTGAACCTGTGCAACCCGGCCAAAAATTAATATACACCATCGATAATCCTTAATATTTTTTGTGATGTGTATAATTGTATGTCATAAAGATAATTTGTATGTCATAATGATTATTATCTTATAAACTTACTTTTCTTGATCTTTTTTGTGGAGTCTAAAACAAATAAATCACGATCATAATTAAAGCAAAATAACAATATAGATCTAAGTATTATTTCTTTTAAATGATAAAATGTCGTCAGTAATGATTATTTCAAAGCACTAGTATTTACTTATACAGTAAATAATCATGGAAAAACAAACAAACAAGTTAAACAACATCAACAATGGAACTTAAAGTTCATCAAAATAGGTAACGGTGATAGGTTATATAACTAAGCTACGAACAACCCTAAATGTTTATCGTAACTAAAAGAATAAAAAATTGTCTCTTTACGATAAAAAATTAGTATATCCTATAAAAATAGTGCATTTCATCCTATTGTATTACACATATTAGAGTTATTACAGTGTTTTATAAGCAGTATCTGATATACTTACTCTTCTTTTGCATTTAGTCTGAAACAAAACAATTTTGATAAGATTATTCATCATATTAAAAGGAAAGTAAAACCTTCGGTTTAGGTAAATAATTTTACACAATTTCAAGAATACTTAATTAGAGCACCGAATAGTCGTGTCAATATACGCCCAAATTTAAGTTTGTTTTAAGTAACCATGCAATCTTTAAAGTCATCAATAAAAAAGATAGGAGACCCATTTTTTTACATTTGCCCGGAACATGTTTTATTTCAATTAAACATATCAAGATCTATATAGATACATGCCAAAGTGTGAAGTTTGATCAAATTTAGGACAAGATTGTTTAGAAAATGTTGACAACGCGAATGGCGGATGGCGGACAGACTGCGATCACAAAAGCTCACCTTCGAGCACAAAGTGCTCAGATGCGCTAAAACCAAGAAAAATGCCATATTCATGTCTTAACAACTTTAAAGCTGCATTAAATGAATATGTAACTAGAAATGTGTCAAGAGGACACGAGTGCCCCAACACTCCACTGTTCTGTCAATTTTATGACTCTATGTCAAATATTTTTGGACTACATATGCCACAAGTTGAAAACTAAAAATCTTTTACTAAGTAAAGGTCAAGAACTTTACAAATACCTAATAAATCCACAAGCAAACCCAAGGTGCTTAAGTACACATGCTGACCAACATTCTTGGCCTTCAAGTCCAATACTTTTTGAGCTATGCATGAATAAGTTGAAAATTGACTGAAAAAAAAACACACATGCAAAGTCCCGGGTGCAAAGCTTCACAGTGTTGTTGATCATCATTCCTGTAAAGTTGGTTGATTCTAACTCAAGCACTCAAGGAACAAATAACACAACATAATGAAACAGTTTTTTACACAGTCAAAGGCAATAACTCTTAAATACTAAATAAATCCACACGAAATACCCAGGTGCACAACTACACATGATGATCTCAATTCCTGTAAAGTTTCATGACTAGGTCAAAAACTTTTTTGAGTTACGACACAAGTTAAAAATTGCAACTAAAGTGGAGGCACAAAAATATTTTTCATTATAAACATTCTGCAGTTTCTTAAACCTTTTAAACGGTAATATCGTCAAATATTCTTCATAAATTACTACTTTAAACGGAATTGTACGAATTTTATCATGCAAACGAATACTGTGATCAGCTCGCGTATGCGCTGCGCTACGTCAAAGTGTTATAGTTGCTATCCGGTACACAGAAAATATGAAATTTTCTCCTGCAAACCCAATTTAATAGTTGAAGCGTTTAGAGAAAACAAGCATCTCATTTAATAGATTAAATTTGTATGAAAACATCCTCGACAATACGGATATATACCGTTCAATTTGGACTGCTACTTATAGCCATGTTTGTTGATTTAATATTGATGAACCGAAGGGTAAACAAAAATTGTACTTCCGATTTCGCCTCAATGAGGTTGTAGAAATGCTTAAAAATCTCATTTTGGTTGTCTGGACACGAACCCTAATTTATTAATGAAATGTCGTCATTTCTGTTTTATGAAAATCATCTTTAATTACTATATTTTAGCAACAACATAATACCATATATAAAAAACTTTTGACATATTATTGCCATCTGGTTCCAATAGTATGTGTAATTTAATTCCTCAAAACAGAAATTTTCTGCTTGCCATTTAAACAACAAAATAAATTAACTTGTTTACATCATCGAATCAACTTTTTTATATAATAAAGAAGGTATTGGAATTTAATAACGCTCTTAGAATTAACTTTAAATATACATTTCTTATAAGGAAATATAAAAAATAATAGTCTATACTATCAACTGCTTTAATATTTCTTTATAAATAGTATAGACTTACTCGTCTTGACTTTTACGTGGTCTGAAATAAATGAAACAAATGAATTAGAGCAATCAATATTTATCAGTTAAAAAATAAAAGAATACTAACTGTCCGAATTATTTCTTTTGTAAGAAAACAAATTGTGCCAGGGGCGGCGTTTTTGTGACAGGTTTTATAAATCAAAAATGTGTCCAACATACTCTTTTACTCTTACGATGAACTTATTATATTATAGTTACATTATATTCGTTACTACAGGAATATCGCTAAAGACCATACATACTACCAAAACCTGCACATTTGTGAATGTTTTATTCAATACAGAGCAGTCAATAATTACAGACAATCAGAGCAAGAGTGTAAACACCGGTAACCTAGACAAAACAAAACCGAAGTTATAGACATCCTAAAGTATCTACCTACCAACTATGAAAGACATCAGTCGGAAAGTAAAGGCTACATGAGCAAATTTTCACCAATTGATTTATGTAGGGCCACCATAGGTCAAATAACGTAATAATCATATGAATATGTCAAGTAAAAATTAAGTTATACCTGATTTCATAGTCCAGCTTTTGATTTTCTTTCTCAGTTTTCAGATGTTTGTTGTTTTGTTCTTCCTTAAAAGATATATAACGTTTCTTTAGATAAAATTGTTGATAACAAATGAAGCAAGCAAATGACTTGTATTTATTACTTGCCCAACTAATAAGGCATAACTTATGAAACAACATTCTAGATATTTTTTTAGGTTTGTAAAATGACTATTTTTGTTTTTCGGCGGCATACGCACACTTCAGGTCTGTATTGATGCTTTTTCAAATTAAATTATCTAATTTTCATGAAATGCAAATTGACAGACATATACTTGTTCAAAGTTACTTTAGGCTTGGACGTTAAATTTGTGTTTTACGTGGATTATACATAACTTTGTGGGACAGCAAATAAAGATAAATCACACCTTTAACATTGGCCTTAAAGATATTGACCACCCATCGAAAAGAAACAAAAAACAGACACATCGGTATGATTTTATTTCAGCGAAAATGAAATAGCTTAAAATATTTTATAATATATAATATATAAAACTTCGCATGTTTCAAACTCCTGTCTGTATTATATACCTGTGTACATGTGTGTGTCTTTTTTTAAGAATTCATGTTAACACTTTGCCAACTCCCTATTGGCATTATCTACTAATTATCCTTCACAACACAGACTCAAATAAAGTACAAACACTTACAGGCTCGATCAACCATGGTAACCAGAAAACGGATTGATTAGTGTATTCAAATAAATATCCGTTAAGTTAACTTCATCAACAATATAGAGATAAAAACTAACCTTTTGTACACGTGACTGTAACTCAAGTAACAGTTTTCTTAAGGCCTTCAGCTATTGCATTCGTCCTATCTAGAACGTCCTTCAGATCCTCTTTTTCACGGCGTATCATATGGAGCTCTTTCTCCATCTTTTTCTTTACCGACTCGACTGGAACAAAAATTAATGACATAATTATCGAATTCATTAATGACATTTTTTATACGTGTCTTTTGATAATCAAAGCACTAAAAGAAGTGTTATAGATAAACCGAGTCTGCAAACATTTTTAATTTTGCCGTGTTGGGCTTTCTTTAGGGATTCTGTATTTATCTATTCTACATTATAGGTAAGCCCTTACATTTTATTATTTTTTCCATAATGCAATGAACGATAATTATGTAATTGCATTGGAATAAATAGTTTTCAAACATGACAGTGTCTTTTCATTTCAACTAAAGTAATCGACTGAATGAACAGTGGCAAAATACAATTTTTTATGTCTAAAATGACGCCCTTATTTGTCGTTACTTATTTATCTTACTTTGTGTTATCTGGTCTGGCTCTCCAGTTAGCAAACGCCCTAAACATTTGATATCTTCTTTCAGTTCTTCGACATCTGAAGATGGCTGGTATCTAGCTGGTTTTTCTTTTCCATTTTCTGACAGTTCCTTCATGTCACTTGACATCTTTCCCATTGCTGCTTGTGTGTATTTCATGAAAATAAAAGCTTCACAGATTTGTTGACCTTGTTCTAATGTTTGTAGTCTCGCTTTCCGATTTTTCAGCTCTGTTTGCATAATACTGACTTCTTTCAACAACTTTTCAAATACTTTTTTATCTGCGTCCTGTTTTCCAACAACTTCGGTTTTGATTTTATCATACAGATTTTCGAAGAAGGTGACAATCTGATCTTTTTGTCGCTCAAGGTCATTACATGCTGTTTTGTTCATTTCATCGGACACTTGAAAATTTTGGTCAATCTTGACATACATTTTCGTTTGCACTTCAATCATATCATCTATCATTTTCGCAAATTCTTGTATTTCTACAGATGTAACAGATTTCTTCACTTCGTCCGGGATATACCTGACACCATCACATGATCGATGGTCTATCGTTCATGCAAAACGTTTTACATTTTTTTTTTTCCGATCTTATCACAGGTCTTACAAATATATTTTA